TCATTTAAAAACGATTTTTTCATGTAAAACCAAACCTGCCTTGTTTATTTATTTTCATAATGTTTAAAAAATTTACATATTCTCGTAATCATAATATAAGAGATATATTTATCTATTTTTATAAAAAAAAGAAACCCAAAATTAAAGTAAGATTTTAACCTTAAATATTTAAATATCTCTAAACTTTCACATAGTTTAGGAATTGAGATTAATGTTTCTTTTTCATTTCTTCAAATTGTTATGGAAGTATAAAATTGTTATAGAAATTTCAAAGACTCGTAAAATAAACGAATAATATCCCAAAAACTATAATTAATTTAATAATATTATCTTAAGATACTTAGAGTATATTTTAAAAGTACTATAAAGAGAATGCACTAAAAAAAACCAATTATAGAATTTCTGGACATGAAGATGTTAGATTTACATGTCTTTAAAATACAAGACATATTGAAACAGATAAACATAAACTAGTTTGAAGAGAAAAAGAAAAAGAAAAAGAAAAAGATTTATACATAGTAAACTACATTAGAAGTGTTTTTGTTGTCCCTTTCCATCATCACTCACATGCAACAACTTTTTCTTACTGCGCGTCCAGGCCATTGCCGTTGTGATCATAACCATTGTTTTAATATAGCTTTCAACTTCCATTCATTTCCCCATATAGCTGAGGACAGCTTGCTTGGTACGTATTTTGGTACTATATAAACCTTTCTATTTTCAACATGTCTAATCATTTTTCTGCCATCTTCTTATAAAGTTCAACCAATTTATCGAGTTCGTCACACTTTTACTCCATCCATTGAAATATCTTCAAAGCTCAATTGAAATAAACTATGCTTGAAAAAATAAATTACAAACCATATTTTCCATTTGAAGATCTTATACTGTATGCGTGTTATACAAATTGTTGGAAGTCTAACATCGACTAGAGATAAGACAAGTTCATATTTTATAAGTGGGTGTAAATCTCACCCTACAAGCCGGTTTTGTGGGGTTGAGTTAGGCTTAAAGTCCACTTCTAACATGGTATCAGAGCCATGATTAGAGTCTATCCTAACAATATTTGTTGTTTTTTGGGCATATTATTCTACCTGCTATCGGACCATCTATTAAAAATGTCTAATCACACGCTCGAGATGTATATAGCTCTGCGTGAGGGGGTGTGTTGGAAATAGATTTTAAAATTAACCAAATCTTATAAAATTAATTGATAAAATAAAATTTATATATATTTATATACTATAAATTTGTTTTGTTTGTAGATATATGAAGATTTTCATTATAATATAAAAATCTTCTTTCTCTTGTTTTTGCGGTTGACATATGCAGTCCACAGGGATTTGAGGAAATTGACTTTCATATGTTGTCTCATGAAACAATGGATAGAGAAAAGTGTATTGTAGGACAAAAAGAAGACAAAAAGGTTAAGGTTTTAGGATTCTAGGTGGAGTTATAAACTCCCATTGCACATGATCATAGAACATAAATCAGCGACATGCAATAATGTACCATGCATTTCCAAGCACTTTGAGAACTAAGAAATATTTGTGAAAATGATAATGTTGTCGAAGATGTTTAACGTTTGTGAAATATTTTAAATATATTTTTATATTGTATATATCTCCTCCTCCTATAGTATAATATAATTTTAATTATTTTTCAAAATTTATTGCATCTCGAAAAAATTTGGGAGGCAAAAATAGTTAAGAAAATACTCAATTATTTTTAATATCTTATTTTTAAAACATGTGAAATACAATGAAAGAGGAAAAAAACTCAATAAATAATTATATGGGCATATTATTCTTGGAATATTTAAGAAAACACTAAAAGATATTATTGATGGAATATTTGAATAAAACATATTTCTTATATGAGGGTTTGCACTGAAATTAATATCAATGTTTACTATCAATCAGGTAGAATAAACCATATCCGTAAGAATTTTTTTATCATCAATTACTTAAAGATTCACGGTTAATGAATTAGAATAAATCACATAAGAAATAGTAATATTATTTTCAAAGTTAGATTTTTTTTTATGTTACTTACTTTCTTTATTGATATTTAATCTAAGATTTTCTATTCATATATGTTTTGTTACTGTCACAACGTTAGCAATTGAAAATAAGTAGTTCATTCTTGAATGGGCTCCAACTTAGGACGGTCTGGGCCTATCAATTCAATCGCTTAAATAATTTTGGGCTTTCCAAATATCACAAAATTAGACTATTTCTTCCTACACCTCTATAAACTTTCCACTGCACCTCTATACAAATAAAAATATTTTTTTATACTTTTTAAATTATACAATCTAAAAGTTATTTTTGGAAGTAATTTAACAATGTGAAAGTTAAAAATGAATTAATATTATACAATAGAAAGTCAAAGCAACCTTTGAATTGTGAAATTTAAAATCTAAATGACTTCAAGATCATGTAATCCAAAAATTGTTTTTTTTCTTATCCACCCTTAGTTTTTTGAAGTCATTTTTAACTTTGTAGCTTACACAATTCAGAAGTTATATTTAACTTCTAGATTATACCATGTAAAATTAGTTTTTTAAATTGTTTAATATTAAACTTGGACACAAAATTTTATATAAGAGTACAATGAGAAATTTATGAAAAAACGAGTACGGATTGAAGAAACTATAACTTTGAACAATTTATTAAATTAAAGAGAAGACATGCAAAATGTAAATTGACTTTGATTGTAGTTGTTAGAAGTCTAAGTATAATATTAAAACATTTTAATCTTTAATTAACACGTGATTGAATGACATGAGTGACACTGAAAATTGAAAGAGTAATGTAATATGAAAATCTGGTTTTGAGAAAAGGGTGACAGCTGGAAGTAGATGGAAGCATGCACACTTCCATTTCCATACTTTCAAAGCAAACTTTCTATTTCTATTGCAAACAAACATAGATATCATATAAAATAACACAACCTACGCGTACACACCGTCACTTCAATTCACTATTTTCTAATTATATCATCATTTCTTTATTTTTAAAACTGTTTGGCTGTGTGATTTAAATTCAAACAAATCATATTAAATATCATTCTTTATTTACTTTTATTTTAAATCTATATTCATAAATTTCAAAATAAATTTTAAATTAATAATTAATTAGGATCCAACCAATAATAACATTAATAGTGTGATAGGAGTTCAACATCGAGTAGAACAATATGTCTAACAAACCACAAATCTAGTTAGAATAGACTCTAACCATAACTTTGATATCATATTAATAAGAACTTTAACTTAATATAATATCATAAAACTGACTCGTAAGATAACGTTATATTTATTTATATACTTTAAATTAGTTTTATTTATAAGATTTTCAACAATTTTTAACTAATAATCTTGATTATGCATGTTTACATTAACGAAAAATCATAAAAAAATATTAAAATTTTAACTTTATTTCACATGCCCAATTGTTTAGTTTGGATATTGTTTAGTTCTTTTTCTTCATTATTGAAGGTTTTTATTCTAATTTCCATAATTTATGACACAAACGCGTGTTTGAATGAGGTACTGTTCTCTTCAACAAAGCCAGTCTCAGTCTCAGTCCCTGTCTTTGTCTCATTCTTTTTATCCTTTGCCTTATCTTTCTAATAATTTTGGACCCACCTTTTATATTCAATGTTTCTTCATTATCCATTAAATTTTTTCTTTTCTTATATTCCAAGCTTTAAATATTGAAGAAAAAAAAATCTAAACATAAACACAAACATACCCAAGTCTTAGAAACGAGTTTTAACAGCTGTTATTATTGTCGGGAGTGAATGATTCTATACAAATATACTAATTCTGAAATTGACTATAACTTGCAGTGAAAAAAAAATGTATATTGATTTCTAGAAGAAGAAATTAAAGCATAAGCATAACCACCCTGCATGTGGGTTGGTGGTAGGTAAAATAAGTACACCACCAGGCACCGCCATTTACTTTACTGAACAAACATAATCATTTTAATTTTATTTTTTTGATTTTCTATCTCTTACATATATATTTCTGAAAATTTTAAAAATAAAAATAGAATAATATACTTCCCAATATTTATTTTATAATATTTTAATATTATCTACGTGTTATTATATGACTGATTCAAAATTAATCTACAATCAATAATAATTATTATAAACATCATGGACCAATCACAAAATGAAAATGTTAAAATATTGTTAAAACATCGTTATTTTAAAAATTATTAGTTTCATACATGAGAAAAATGCGTGCAAAGTTTCCTTTTCTTCTATCTTACCTTCGTTTGCACTCCCCCCAACAAGCTTGAACTACAATATGCTCTTCTCTAATGACAACTGAAACTAACACCTTTCAATGTTTTTAAGAATAAGAAAAATAAAATTAAAGACAAAATATAGGAGAATGAAATTTTTTAACTATATTTTTATTCTTAAATTATTAGTTATTTTAGTTTTTGTATATGTATTTCAAACTTAAATTTTTTTTTTGTTTAAAAGATATATAGATGCAAATTTTTTCATTTAAGGGTAACTATTTATATAATAAATCACATAAATATCATCCAAAATATTATTTTTTTGTTAATATCTTAAAAAATTAGCATAATTTACGTTTGTCATATGAAAAAGATTAACACAATTAGACAAAGATAATGCATTCATAAATTTCTTAAATACGAAGAATTAACAAAATTCAAAATCATATTATGATTTAAAAAAAAGTTAATATTTTATTTTAATTAGTGGCATAAATTAATCCAAGTGTTTGTTGTGACATCACATAGATTGAATAATAATGCAAAAAGAAAGCATGGTAGCAGTAAGTAGTAGCATTGCTCTCTCACTGACAGCATGTTCTCCACTTAAGTGTAACTACGACGAAACTCACCTCTTTCTCATCTCATTTTCAACCTTATATAACATCACATCACAACCATACAAATTCACTCTCAAACTCTCATCAATAAGATCACATCAAACGCTATATACTACAAACAACAAAACAAAAAAGCTCTCTTTTTCGTTTCATGGATCAGGAGCCAACAAGCACCATGCAACAATGTGGAATAGCCCCAACGGCAACATCGTATCGTGGTGTTCGACAACGAAAATGGGGCAAATGGGTGTCGGAAATTCGCGAGCCGGGGAAGAAAAGCAGAATATGGTTGGGGAGCTACGAGTCGCCGGAGATGGCAGCAGCAGCTTATGACGTGGCGGCGTTGCACCTCAGAGGACGCACCGCCAGACTCAATTTTCCTGAACTGGCGGAGACACTGCCACGTCCCGCCAGCTCCAAGTCCGAGGATGTGCAGGTGGCAGCACAACAAGCGGCATTGAGGTTCAGTAGGTCACCGACGATGTCGCATAATGAGATATGTGTGAGTGAAAGTAGTGACAGAAACAGTAACAACAGAAAGAGTAACAGTAAGAAGAAGAAGAGTGAGAATAGTGGTGTTGTTCCTCTGCAAGTGGGGCTTTCGGCTACACAGATTCAAGCTATAAATGAGTCTCCGTTGGAGTCACCGAAGATGTGGATGATGCAAATGGCAGAGACGCTTAGGTTTGGGTTTGGTGATGAGTATTCTATGATGATGGTGTCATGTGATGGTGATGATGATTATGCCATGGAGTTGAGTGGATGGGAAGAAATGCATCATGAATCCTTATGGGACTCTCCATAATATATGTGATTAATTACACATTGATATTCAATTAATGTACTACCCTTGATTTAGGGCATTCTATTTATTAATGAATGATTAATGAATGATTAAAGAATCATGTGGTTTTAGTGAGACTGATTCAATGAAGCAATAGGATTATTTAATGTTGTCAATTGCTAATTTCATCACCACCTTTTTTTGTTTCTCCTGTATTGTATTTTCCTTATATTATTAATTATTCACTTGCTTATTGGTTAGTATAATATTAGAGATATTTTCATGAGTTTTTATTGTATATTTACATTACATAGACGTTATTATATGTACAAAAATGGAGATAAAGAGGAGAAGAATGAAATAATATAATAATATGGCAATCATCTTGGGAAGCAGGCCGAATCTATTACGACCTAGTCGGCATGACTTTCGTGCTAGGAATTTACCATTCACATTTGACCTTCACAAACATAAATTTTCTATTTTCAAGTTCTAACCAACACCACTTTTGAAATTAAAGGTGTTTTCTTTTTTCCTTGGAATAATTAATAAGATTAACTACCTCTGTGTGACTGTAGTGTGCCACCTGCACGCATGACACACCACTTTTATGAAATATATACAAATAATAAAGTAATTCATGCAGAATGATTTTATATTTTAATCTATGAATGTTTTGGGGTTGAATAAAATGTATATTTGAATTATATTAGAGGTGTAAAAATGGATCACAAAAATCCGGCCTACGATTCGAGTCGGATTGAATTTGAAAAAATTATATTTTTTTATGTGATGAAATTTCAATCCGGCTTATTTAAACTCATGTGAGTTGAACCTGTGGTGGACTGGGTTAGCCCACCAACTCACCTACATAATTTTATTTTATTAAAATTTAATTTTAATTTCATAAAAAAATATTTATTATTTTTTTGCTTGAAAAAATGATTTAAATTCCTTATTTTCATAATTAATTAAGCACCTTAGAAGTGAAATTTGAGAGTAAAATTAGTTTAGATTTGAATTATAAAAAGTTTGTAAATTTTTTTATTTTAAAAAGTTTGTAACTAAGTGAGTTAGTGAGCCAATTCGTTTACTACCAACTCGTGGTGAGTCGGACTGAATTTGAATTTCCTTAACTCGCTAATAAATGAGTCGGATTAGATTGACTCACTAAGTGACAAACCTGTGGTAAGTCGGATCGGATCAGAACAAGTGGCCTTGACAACTCTAAATTATATTCGATTCTTCCCCAATTAATTACGATTCCACCAACAAATTAAGTGTTCCTCTCAGGCAACAAAATCGATTTTGGATAACTCATTTTTAACATTCGTTATAATTAGCATGCTGTCCATCTAGCTTGATATTTACATGATTTTCTTAGAGGAACCGAAGAGAAAATTCATGTTACGAGATAGGTTATTATTGAAAATCAAATTGTAACTAATTGTTCCAGAAAAAACACATGTACATTCATCTTGGTTCGATTTTTGACAACATTATATATTCGCTTATAACATCTTGAGCAATAGATGATACTAAATTCTCACACCCACGATGAATAGTATGTAAGTTTTTTTCCCACTTTTTATGGAAAATTAGATGCTTGTTAGGGATCACTTCCCAAAATTTCGGCCCAGAGAGAAAAACTAAGGAGTTAATGCATGAATATAAAACTTTTCAAATAATATTTAAATATAAAGTTGGATTGAGATGTTCAACGGTTTTTAACTAAATACAAAAAATATTTTATAATTTATAAGACAAACATATATAAAATTGGTCTAACACGATACAATCTTCAAGCCACTAAAATATGGACAGTTATTGATTGAACATAGACGTTTACTCTTGGTCATTCCTACATTGGGAATAAGACGACGTAACACCTTCCTTACTTACATTCAAATTTTAATGTACTCACAAATGATAACTAGTTATAAGAAGTGTTGTGTGTAGCGGAATTTTATGTGTACAACTTCAATTTAAGTTAGAAATTGTACTATCTTATTTGACAAGACTCATTGTCTCTAAATAAAGAGAGTATATATTCATCGTTTTTAAAATATACCTTTACACCACCCATCATTGATATTTATATTGAATACTTTTAGTTTATTATTGGTATTATTTGTACGTTGCACAATTATTCTGACGCTAAAGTGCACAACATTTAGAATACTGTAATAAAGAACTATTTGCCAAAAATAAAGAGAATAATAAACAGTTAAAGATTGCCTCTTGTTTTGTGAAAATTTTAATTATGACTTCGTCATCACTATAATGGTTTGAATCAATTTGTAAACAACACATATATAAACTTAATTGCAGAATAAATGTCAAACATATTCCTTGCACAAAAAACCTTACCTTTCACAAGCAGATCTCCTCTGTCTTGCAAGTATCAAACCTAAGCATTGGTTGGGGTCCCGGCTTGGCCATAATATTATATCAACACCAATTGCAGTGCCTCTATTAAAATATCAACATCCAAAACTCTGCATGGTCAAGATCCTCCTTTCCATTGGATGACATTGCAATCCCCTTCAATATTAAGAGGTGAAGGGTATTGATAAACGATGCTCTTCTTTGAGAGCGATGCGTGTTCAGAAGATTACAGGGACTCAAATATCAGTCGAAAAGAATGTGAGGAAGATTAAATATATGCAAAAAGAATCAGTCGAAAACTCTACAGGACTGCTCAATCTTAGATAGAATTTCATTATGTTTTGCTTGAACTTTAGCTTACCCTCTCCCCGCTCTTGGAACCATATTCAGCTAAGAAAATCAAGTAGAACGGTAAAATAATTAATGAATTCAGCGAAGCACAATAATGAGCTGTGGCTCCAATTAACTAAAATGATGAAGAAAAGAATGTTTCAATTTTCAAGAGATAATTTGTTACACCAGCCTATGCTCGGCTGCTTTTCTAAAAGCAACGCGAAATGAACAAAATAGCATTGCAGACCAATGTAGCCTACATTATTTGCCAAAGATACGGCACTTCCTGCAAAAACTAAACGTCCGAAAATTAAATCTCCCGAACTTTGAAAACACACTGCAAAATTGAATGAACGAAAACGAATAAAATCACTGTGCAGTGGCTTGTTTCAGATATGCAATAAGATCAGCACGTTCCTGGGGCTTCTTGAGACCAGGAAATACCATCTTAGTCCCTGGAATATACTGCACAAGAACCCAACACAACAAGGGGTGTGTCAGAGACATAATTGGAGGGGGACAAGATTTTTCAAAGTCACTGCAATAATAGTTTATTACAGAACAAATTCAACACGATAGAAGATATTAAATCCCATAATGAAAATTAAGTAGTCCGTACGCGATTGCCATTTACAATTTATTCAGAGAAAGGGATCCAATATATAAATGAGGAAAGAACAGAAATTATAAGTAACTTCTAGCATCCATCATCAAGTTCTCAATGCACACAATGCCTTGTGCACATATCTTTAAATTTAGATATAATTTTAAAATGAATAAATTGAAAAATATATTAAAGAAGAAAAATAGCGCATCGTCAAATAATTAATAAATAACACAGTACAATAGAAATTACCCTCATTGTAATAATTTTGATTTTATTTCATATCTACGAATCAAAGATACTAAAATTTTGAAATTAAGAATTGAATTGCAGAAATAATTTGTTTGAAACAACTACTAGCAAGCTACGCTGCGTCAAAAATCATTGCACATTTATAAAGGTAGAAAGTTTGAATTAACGTAATATAGTGTGCAATTTTAAATAAAAAATAAAATTGTCACACTTGATTTTAAACGAGATATCTACAGAGAGGGGGTCAGGGTGTCCACCCTTGCCCACCACTCTATCTATCCAGTTCAAGGAGAACATTAGTGAAGCATATCTCACATATGGATGATCAGTAATTAATAGCCGTTCATATAGAAATACTACAATTTGTGTTTTACCTTTTTGGGGTTAAGTAAATAATCGTATAGTGTCTTTTCTTCCCAAGTTACGGCCATGTTCTTATTAGCTGCAGAGTAGGAATATCCGGGAGTAGTGCCTGATTGCCTTCCAAACAGCCCATTCAGATTGGGACCTGAGATTGTCCGAAAGGGAAAATATTAGCATAAATAACAACAGTATTCCAGAGTGTGAAAGCAACACAAAAATAGTTATAACCGGTAAAAGAATGTTATGAAATGAGTTCCAAGGAAGCAATGTATAAATCAGTGACAATGATCAGATTTTTAAAAAAGAGAATTCACAAGTAAACTGGAAAGCAATAAATTTACCAACAACTTTGTCCCTGCAAGTGATTTTCATTCTCCTTTTTGTTTTAAAAACTACAAGGGCATAACACCTAAAGGTCCTAGGCCACCCATTGAAATCAAATTTGGTCAAAAGTCACATCATGAACGAGGGAAATTCGGTTTTTTGAGTGGGAGCTTTCCTCGTTAGGCATGGAAAACATACTTGGACATGTGTACAGTCGTAAGCAATATGCTCATGTTTAACATAGCCCACAGACCATCTAAAAAATTTTCTCAAACCAAAATACATGTTGTTTGGTACCAGTAAACTAAAAAAAAATAATTCAAAATGTTAAATATCTCAATTACTTGCTCTCTAATCGCCGTTAAATTCATAAATTGTTCCAAACCAATTTGGGTTGTGCTTCAGGAAAGCATAATTCTTCTATTCGTCCAATCATTAACACACCAAAAACACAAGTACAAAACAACATGAAGACTCATCTTCAATTCCTAAGCTTCGGAAATGGAATTCCCCTCATATTTCTTCAACGACGAGGACGAATAATATATTCATTCCATGTCAAAATCCACTAAATCCTTGAATCAACAAGCATTTAATCATTAGCTTAAATCAAACAGGAATAATTACTTTTTCAATCGAGGAATCCAATACGATTACACAGTTACTATCGACCTGAAAGTGCTACTCACCAACGAGCAGTAGATTGCCTCTGCTCGGTTTCCACCAAGGTGTCCACGACTAACGAAGGCAATAGGCA